AGATTTAACATATGGGACATTTGGAAATAATAAAAAGGTACAGTAACTCATGAATTCAATATAAAATGGGAAAATATTCTGGATAAAATGTTAAGTAAAAGAAAGCAGGAGAAAATAATATACGAAATATGGCTCCAATTTATCTATCTATCCTTCTGTCTATCAATCAATCTATCATCTATCTACATAGCTATATGTACATTAACATAACCGTACATGGATGTGAATGCATATGTGTGTCTGTGTGAATATATGTGAGTATACACAGCAAGTTTTATTTATTTAATAACAATTATACATTGTTTCCTTTTAAAAATTCATGCCCCCACCCCCCTTCCCCCCAGCCAGAGAGAGTAATTTAAGTAATTCTAGCGAGGGGATTTGTTATCAGCTAGAAGAAAGGAAAGCAGTCCTAGGGGAGAAGCTCCAAGTAAAAAGGTGGGAAGATCCCAATCAACCATCACCTCAAATATTTGCCCTTCTCCCACCCTTACCTTCCATGCCCACGTAGAGTTCCAGGCAAATTTAGATCAGAAAGGAACCAATTATAATCCTTTTAATCTGTGATCAGTTATAAAAACCCAAAGCTATGGATGGCTAGTTTTGGAACAACCATAAACCCTCCACTGATGAGAAGAAATGTGCAGTCAATTATCGTTCATGAAAACTATGCTGCCCGTAAGCATGAAGATGACATTGCTGTGGTGAAGCTCACCACCCCCGTCACATTTTCTGATGACGTACACAGAGTCTGTCTCCGGGATGCTACTTTTGAAGTCTTGCCTAGCAGTAAAGTGTTTGTCACTGGATGGGGAGCCTTGGGAAAAAATGGTGAGTATCTCAGCAAAATCAACCAGGCAAAACAAAAACCATCCTTCGTTTCAGTGGAGATATGAAATAAGATATAAAATCAAAATAATAAATAGAATGAGATTAAATCAACATATCCCATGACAAATATGGCAAAAACAACAAAAAAGGAAACCAGATATGGTGAATTATGAAAACTTTGGCTGTACTATTACAAGATATCTATGTTTATTGTCTTTTTTATGGACTGTTTTGGAAATTGGTGATAACTTTCTTTTAAAAAACTTATTTAAAATATCTTTTCTCATCATTTATTTTCTTTCAGCTACTGGCTTTCATATATAGAGATTCTACTGTGACTGTATGATTAATAAAGTATGTGATATGTGAACAGTAGTAATGATCAGCTTCTGTACTGTCACGAAATAGACTTAAGCAAGCAATATAAACGGACTATTCCTCACCTGACATTAAATATCATATATCATTAATATTCAGATTATTAATATTATTAATAATTAAATATTAAATGATCCATGTATCTATGGAACAGTTTAGTCTGAGACTTTATGAATTTGACAAGTAAGACATTTACCACACTTAATAATACACAGGGAGCCCTGGTGGCTCAATAGTTAAGTTCTTGGCTGCTGACTGAAAGGCTGGTGGTTCGAACCCACCCAGCAGCTCCACAGGCGATCTGCTGCCATAATTATTAAAGCCTAGAAAACCCTATGGGGCAGTTTTACTCTGCCACATGAGGTTGCTATGAGTCAGAATCAACTCAATGACATACCACTAGCAACAACAATACACAATAAACTATAAAAATAGATCTTTAGTTCCTGATACAAATCTCCAGTTCTTCTCTATGTCTGTTAGTGGTACTTTTTACATATGGTGTAATCTGCCCTTGAATGTCTGCCTTCTTGATCTGGGCCCTTATTATGAAGTTGTAGTCTTTCTTTACGTATGTGTTCAAAGCATAACTTGTATTTACTGAGTCTTTATCAAGTAATTTCTACAGATATCTTTGCTTCCCTTCAATATGCACAGCAATATTCTGATGTTGGGTCCAGGTTGCTGCACTATTGTTATAACCTGGGATAGCTTTTCCTCATCTCTGTAGGGATCTGCATTGTTCTATATGCGATGGTGATGAATATGAGGGGGAATAAAATTCTCTGGGGCTAAACAAGCTACTTCTGCTCGGAGTGGAAATGGAAAGTATCTCCCACTTGGGCAGCACCATAACACTTCCTCTAGAATCTAATTAGAAATTCATGGGTGTTGCAAACAGATAACAAGCTTGACTGCTAACTGAAAGATTGGAGGTTTGAGCCCACCCAGATGTACCTTGGAATAAAGGACTGGTGATCTACTTCTGAAAAATCAGCCATTGAAAATCTTATGGAGCACAGTTCTACTCTGGAACACATAGGGTCACCATGAGTCAGAATCGACTCAATGGCAACTGTTTGTTTTGTTTTGTTTTCTAGAATCTAATTAAACCCAACACTGCCTTTTGTCAGAGGAGTTGTTCAGGAGTGATTTAGGGCTTCATCATGAATCACTTAATTCTCAATAGTGTGCAGATTACTGTGCATTTAGCTATGTAACAAATTGCAGATCTTTCATAAATAATATTATGAATTTGCAACATATCAGACTAAGGTTAAATATTAGGCATCTGATTGTGGTTTTTTTCCTCCATTTTGAAACTGAGACACAGAACAGAGGTTTTCTTCTCTCACCTCCTAAGATTTATCCAACAATATCTGATTAGAAATCTTGTTGCCAGACAACTTAGCAATAAGAAACTTTCTGCTCTAGCAAGAGTTTCTGCTCTGAATATATAAAATAGCTTGTTATGTTGTGAAGCACCTGAATTGGACTTTTTTAGTTGAAATTAAAGAACTATAAGCATTTGAAATTTAAAACTAAGCATCCTAGA